CTCTGGCAGCGTGGATTTGGGCTGGCAGCCTGGGCCATGTAGGAATACAAGTTACTCACAGAGAACATTCAGGGTGAATGGGTCACTATGACCGGCACTGACTGGGTTCCAGGTTTCACACTCATAAGGTCCTGTGTCATTCCTTGTGACACCATGTAAAGTGAGAGTCCTGTTGTCCAGGGACAGCTCCAGCCTGGCGCTGTCCGGGAGGCTCTTACTGTTTACTGACCACAGGTAGCTTGTGTTATGAGTCTGAGGTTCACACGTTAATACTACAGAATCCACGTTCTCCACGGGGTCCGAGTTGTTGCTTGTGATGTTGGGTTTGGGTAACTCCGCTGTGTAGACAACAGAGAGAACATTGCCCTGTGTGGTACCTGTGATTCCTCCAAAGGCATCTTCAATCAGAGCTGCCTTCTCTCATCTGTCTGCCAACCCGAGTCCTTAAGAATAAAGCAGATCTGTGAATCTCAAGACAAATGCGAGAGGATCTGAGGACTCACAGAAGGAAAAGCCCCCTGCTCTGTGTGTCTGAGAGCAAGCACAGAGATTCTCAAATGTCAATCACAGAGCAGAGTTTTGTCGTGGAAGACGCGGGACAGAGTCAGAGACAGCCCCCAATCCCCCAACACGGCACCTCTCCTGGTTCTTCACAGACCTGATGGCTTGGCCAGGGGATGGGGATCTGAGCAGAAATGACACCCAGGGACACCAGAAGCAAGCCCAGAGGTCAGTTCAGTACTTGGGCCCAGGGCCTGAAGGGGCTTTGATAATGACTGCCGTGAGACAGTGATCCCATACATGGGAGAGCAGAGTCAACATCAAGCAAAGAGTCAGAGCATGAGCAGGAAGGAGGGGTGATGAGCGAATGAATGACCACATCTCTTCAGAAAGGCATCCTGGTGCAGGATCCTTGGAGGCCTGGCCCTTCTCCAGCAACAGAGGCACCCACACTGTTCACTGCATCCCTCCTATATATTTTTAAATAATTTTTTTAGGGCTCATTTATTGTTGAGAGACAGAGATAGAGAGAGACACAGAGAGAGGGGTGGGAGGGGCATCGAAGGAGAGAGGACAGAGGATCCAAAAGGTTTGCCCTGACAGGAGGGAGCCCGATGTAGAGCTTGATCTCAGCAGATCTGGACCTGAGCCGAAGTTGGACACTCAACCACCTGATCCACCCAGGCGCCCCTCACGCCTTCCCTCCTAAACAAAAGCAAGTGAGTTGGTTACACGTGGACCCTGTGCTGGTTTCAGGTGCAGAGTCAGAAGGAGAAGGCAATTCCACCCCAGTGGGAGCGACACCAACACACCAGGAAACACTCAGTGATTTCAAGTCCAACACAGGGAGGTGAGGATGGGCCACCTGAGGGGCGGCCGGGGCATGCTGACTCAGGTTGCTGCTGGGGGTCATTAGTTGGAGAGTGAACACAGAATGAGCCTCTATTTGCTCTCACTGCCCACACCAGCACCCTTCCCGCTGATGGAGGAGAGGACGGGGCTGTGCTGCCCAGCAGCCCATCAGCCTGTGTGACCCTGATTCAGTGACTATACCTCCCTGGGCCTCAGTTTCCCCCTAATACAACAGGAATAATGGTAAATGATCTCCACCAGCCATGCCTGTGAAGTAAACTTTAACCATCCTTAAATACCTGGCCTTAAAATGGTATATCGCAGCCGGCCACTCAAATGGCCTCTCTTACTCTTGCCTCCACAAGACAAGGCTCCCTCCCTGGGCCTCCTTCTTGGGAGAGGAAGAGCTGTCAAGAGCATCTCTCTGCTCTGTTCCTTCCTGGGGGTGCTGACCCTCCGCTGGAGTCTCCTAAGTCCCCCACAGCAGTTGGCTAATGGACTGGAGCCTTTTTATGTCTGTGCTGCCCATGCCTCTCTCCAGATGCAGATCTGGAGACTGAGCGCTGGCTGGCGACCAGCTCAGAGGCTCAGGACTCGGGCAGCTGGGAAATCATTGCTCCCTGTCAGCCCTGCCCAGGAGCCCTACCCCACCCTGGCACAGAGTCCCCGGGGTCACGAGACTCAGGAGCCCCAAGGCACTGTTCTGGGCAAGGGCCTTCTGGGCTGAGCTCTAGTGAGGATCCCAGGGCCCCTTCGGGCCTGGCCTTGACTGTGACCTGCATGGTCTTTCTCAGATGGTCATAGAGTCTGGATTCCAGGAAAGAAGTTGCAATCTTAGGAAATTCATCTTTACTGTGTGTGTCCTGCACTAAATGCTCAAACACCATTTGGGACAAAATGCAGAAGGGGAGGGAGGCACAGTCCAGGCCTGTCAATCCTGTGTGTACGAAGTAGAATTCACTCCACCCGACACCAGAGGTGAGAGAGGAATTACTCACGATATACACGGAGCCATCTAGTTACTATTTCAATTTGAAAATTTCTCTTTAAGATTCGTACAGTGTAGTATCCCATGTCCTCCAGGTTGATGTTCTGGAACAGCAGGGATCCACTGAGATATAATGTCTCTCTGCCACTGTGTGCATATCCTGGGGTAATTTCTTGTGAGTCTGCTGCATATGATACAATTTCACTACGGGGCTCAACAGTTTCCCCTTTGAACCAGCCAAAGCCTATAAGATTCACAGGCAGATTGTGGACACGCAGAAGAACGTCCTTCCCCTCGGCAGCATTGGGCGGCACCGATTCAACAGTGACTTGGGCAGTGGTGGGAGGGTTCCAGAAGGTTAGGAGTGAGACTAGGAGGGAAGAGAGAAGACCTGGATCAATATTTGGCCTATGTATTGGGACGGAAAGATGTGGCCCTGGAGACTGAGCAGGTCCTAATCGCTCAGCCTTGGGCCCAGGGGTGAGCGTGTGTGTGTGTGTGTGTGTGTGTGTGTGTGTGTGTGACAGCGCGCGCACGCGTCCTACGGGTCAAGGTCAGGGCACGACCGCCATGGCTTCAGCGCTTCTGAACTTGTGATTTCCTCTGTTTCCAATACTCTCCC